AGCGAGGGATTTTGAAGCTTTAAAAGTGGAGCTGAGGCAAATTTTTCTTTCAATGTCTTAAAAGCATGCTGGCAAGAAACTGTCCATTTGAACTTCTGGCCTTTTTTTGTTAAATTATGTAGTGGAGCAGCTATAGTTGTAAAGTCCTTCACAAACTTCCAATAATAGGTACAGAGTTCCAAGAAACTTCTTAACTCTCACACATTGTCTGATGTTGGCCAATCATGCACCGCTTTCACCTTGTCAGGATCAATTCGCACACCATGCTCACTTATGCTGTGACCCAAGTAAAGCACCTCTTTATGGAACAAGTGGCATTTCTTGGGATGGAGTTTGAGGTTAACTGCTATCAAACGCTTTAATACTTCCTCTAGTGGGGACATTTCCTCATCAAACGATGTTGCAAACACAATGACATCATCCAGGTACACTAGGGCTATCCTCCATTGTAGGCCTTCCCATACTCTTTCCATCAGCCTATCAAATGTTGCTGGAGCATTGTTAAACATGTTCACATGCATGAAAGAACTAGGCAACATTATTAAAAAAATAAAAACGAAGCTGCTATCTCCTGGGAATGGCACTTGAATACTAGAATCTTCTAACATTGGCTGTTTCATAATCATCTTAGAGTGACTAAGTGGGGAGTTCCACACTTATATAGCCCCTTCTGAGATGTTTGCTGTGGTCTCTTTGCCAGTGATGTCTTGGGCAATAGTGTTGTATGTCCTCCTCAATCATCTAGTACATTCATCCTTCAAAGTCAAAGCTGCTATTTGATGGCAAGCAACTTTGGACTAGCTGTCTGGCTTATCTGCACTGCTGTTCTCCTAGTATTCTTTGTTGTCATCGCTCTGGTCTTAATGAATGATATCACAGCCTTGATGAACTCCACCTTCACCTTCCATAGATATAGGCATCCCTCAAGATGCACATAGCACAAAAAAGATCTTAGGGTTAGGGATGTAGTTGTCCCACCAAAGATGCAAATATATTTATCATCTTTTCCTAGTTATTTTATTGCACCAACAAGGGGACAAATCACTGGACCCCTTTATTCTTCATTCTTCACCTCCTTCAGCAGCATCAACATCAGTACTGACTCCTATTGCTGGACCACTTGGAAGCTAACTATTCTAGATATAATGGTGTTAACTCCAGCTATCCAGCATGGGGCTACCCTGGACTTCCTAGCACCATCAGGGACTTCATCAGCCAGTTTGACCCTCGGAGACATCAGTGCAAACCCATTTACTAATTCAGCAAGCTCTTTCAAATTAGATACATCAGCAAGCAATGCTACTTCATCCATGGGTTTGCTAATGGTAAACACTAGCCTGGCACTTTTCCTCTCCAATGACTTCATATCCCTTGTTGTAGAGGAAATCCTAGGCATCTTGGAACAGATGTGAGGCTTCAAAGATTGAAGAATAATCCATTATAAATCATGGTCGCAGGCAAAGAAAATGGGAATGGAACACAGAAACAGGTCAAGTCGAATTTCCAAATGGGATATTGAATGTGGCTGGATGTTGACCTTAAATACTGAAAGTCCAGATTCAAATGCAAAGATCCACTAAGTTCTATTTGGTCAAAGTTCCAGCTGGGTACATAGGTTATAAAGAGGTCATAATGCTCAGTTACAACCATGAACCAGATACTGGTCAAACAGCACGTCTTCATTGCCCATAGAACTTGCACTCAAGGAACTTGGAGTTTTAGACAGCTACCTGTGGTTGTTCTGCCCTCTGTTGTCCCTGCTGGACAATGAGAACATGCATATTAAACTCTCAAATCCGGCCTTATCCCTAGCCTACCGTCTAGCTGTAACGTAGACAGAGCTGGTTCCAGCAGGAAGGAATAAGAATCGAGATTATTTGGGTTTTACACACTCAACCTTATTTGGGTTAGGTACTTTGACTATTAGCCTGTGCCAACACTTTCATTGTCTTTCCTTAAAGGCTTTCTTCCAGTTATAGGTGTTAAAATAAGTTGATTTTCTAGGTCAGGAGATTTAATCTTCTAAAAGTACCAATCAATCATTTTTAATATTTGTTGTAGTTAAATAAAACACTTGTTTTTGAACCACCTTATACGAGCAACTTAGCATGCAAAGAACTGAAAGAACTGGTAAACTTATGGAAATAAAAATATCAACAATTGGTAAAAAATTAAGATCAGAACATGGTGAAAGATTCCATGTCCTTCAGACTGTGTTAGATTTTTATTCCTCAGGGGCAAAAAAAAAACAACACAAAAGAATAAATCACTTGATGGATAAAGAAGAACTTAACTAACGTTTCCATACTTACAGGGATACTGGTTTTCATATTGAAATTTCCATATAACTTTTAGGTGAAGCAGAAAAACATTTTTTTCCATGCAATATACATGTGACACAAGTAAACAGGTATTATTACTTGTTTGTTCCAGAGGAGTAAACGTACACTATGATTGGCTTTAACACGTTGTTTCTCCAGCGAAGAAATGGAAGAAATTTCACGGAAATTTTCTAAAACATGCTACGTAAAACAATTAACACACAACAACCATAC